TAGCCCGCCATGGCTGGGTTTGATCTGCTACGTTCAGCTGCTGGTTTGCACCAGCTATCATTTGTGATTGGGTGCCAGCAGCCACCTGACTAGGGTTCAAAGGTGAGTGAGTTCTAGCTTGAGTTGTGTTTGTAGCATGTTGAATAGTGTGACCAGGTATGGGGTGTTGGCCGTAAGGCACCTGGCCAACAGCTTGTGTATTGTTCATTGAATAATGCTTATTGCCCCCTATCTGTCGAATATTTGGGTTCAAAGTTCGTGGGATACCTGGAGCATTTCCAGGAAATCTAGGCTGTTGTCCACCAGCTTGAGTAGGTGGAGGCACCCCTGGTCTGGTATATTCAGGTGGTGGCCTTGTAATATATCTCTGATACTGTTCATGTTCTTGTCGTAATCTCTCTTGCTCCTGTAACAGTCTTTGTTCTTGAAGTTTTTGTTCTTGTTGCAGCCGATGATTTTCTCGTTGCCTCAACATAACTTGTTGTCGAATATACTCTTGTTGCCGTTGGCGTTTCAGTTGTTGTTCTTCTTCTGTAGTATGGTGAGGCAAAGCCACATACTGAGTTCTAGGTGGCTGTTGCTGCTGTTGTTGTTGTTGTTGTTGTTGTTGCTGCAATTGTTGCTCTTGCAAATGTTGTTGCAGCCTACTTTGTTGTTGCTGTTGTTGTTGTTGTTGCAGTAACTGTTGTTGATTCGGAGGAAAACCCTGTGGATACTGTCGCGCAGCATCAATTTCCTGTTTGAATCCACTGAGCATGCTCCTGTTTGCCTGCATTCCTCTGAGAGCTGCAATACTATTCTGCGAGGCACCTTCATGCCTATCTGGTAAATGCGAAAGTGGTTTTGTGTTGTTTAAACTGAACTGATCAGTCCCACTATTATTCAAAATTGGTTTACGGTCCTGCATTTGCTGCTGTCGCATTTTCAAATCTTGTTGCTGTTGCAGCTGTTGTTGTTGTTGTTGTTGCTGCTGCTGCTGCTGCTGCTGTTGTTGTTGTTGTTGTTGTTGTTGTTGTTGCTGTAATGACAGCTGATTTTGTTGCATAAACAATGGCATTTCAGACTTTATAGTGTTAGCAGAAGCCATTGGATTGTATGGGAATTTCATATTTCCTTGCGGCTGCTGCCTAAGATGCTGCTGTTGAGCCGCCATGAGCTGCAGTTGAGAAGCTCGACTCATATTACCATTATCCTGTAATTGGAAATCCATACTGGAGGCAGGTGGGGTTAAATTCCCAGCAAAAGTGTTGATTGGCATGCCTGCATTGGGTGCAGTGGGCCGATATGCATTGGAGTGAGCAGGAGTTTGGGGTTCCTGCTTCATCACTCCTTCACCTTGTTGTTCACTTGAAGGTGACTTATCCGGTTGAAGATCTTTAAGATCGCTTAATTGTTTTTTCAAGCCTTCTTCCTCATGTTTTAGATCCTCTTCCAATTTAGCCAGACTGTCCGGATCTTTGGCTAACTCATCCAGGATTGCCTGGAAATCATTATCATTCAAGTTTATTTCGCCGCCAAGCAGCGTATCTAGATCTAATTCGTTTCCTTTCCCATCTTTCTGTTTCCCTGCACAAGAGTTAAGAAACGGTTCCTGTTTGCATTCAACTAGTTGAGTATTTTCCGAGCTCTGATACGGTGATGGAACTTGTTGATGGTCTGTTGGGCATTGTCCGTTATGATGGGAATTAGAAAGCATATTGTTCATACTCGATTCAGTCGGCATTCCTAAACTGCCTTCTTCTTGTTGATTGGGATGAGTTTTAATCGTTGTTTGTACAGTAACATCCACGTTTGTTTGTATAGTCTGTTCATTAGTCTGCTGCACAATAGATAAAGACAAACTTGGCTGATTGACCAGTCCGTGACCTGGTTGCTGTGGACACGACCTCTTTGGTGATGAGACACAGTCATAACCATTCCGAAGAGGTACGTTATCTCCATTCGCTAACTTATCCTTCGGTGAACTACCACTTTCTAATTTCCTTTTCAAAATCTTTTGCTGCAAAAAATAATAAAAACAATAAATTAGTAAACAAATATATAAAAAACATTTCTGTGGAATATAAAGTATCATAAGTTGATACAATAGACACTATACACAGACTCAAAAACAGATAATTCTAAACAGAACCAAAGACCTAAACTAAAGGTCTTTGACAGAACAGAAGTAAACAGGAAACCTACAGTCATGCTTCAATAAAACACAAACTGCTTTGCAAACTATGATGGCATCTCTACAGCAGACATAGTCATACTGACTGGAAGGATGTACAACTATACTGCCTATATGTCTGTACATGCTTGGACAACTATGATGTCACTTCCTGTTTCTTAGCACATACCTCAGCATGAAAGGAATATGTACATTTGTTTTCAAAAGTGCGTGAATTATTCTATTCAGCAGCTATTCACGCCATTTCCTTTCATTAATTGGGGGACTAAACCCCGTAAATGGATTTTCAAATTGGAGATGAGTCCCTGTTTTAAATCAGACTGCTACTCTAATTTAATACTTTCTCTCACTACTTCCTGTGCAGAACAATTCAACCTTGTTTCTCAACACAAATAACCACAAATACTCAAGATAGAATCGTGTGATAGGATTTATTAAGGACACTCAATACATGACGAAATATCAACTTTTAATTCCTGGAATAAAAAAATGAGGAATTTTTTAATTTTCGATAATTATAAAATATTTTAAACTATTAATTAATACATTTTTAGCAAGAATATACAAATACATACAATGTATGTATGATATAAATAATTGCTTCATACTTGTGTAATAAATCCTCCGCAGCAATAAATTGAATTATAAATAAAGTTCACTGACATAATTAATAAATGTGACTGGGAATACAAAAGCATAAAATAATTCATTATGTTAGAGAAAAATTTTATATTAAGGTGAACAAATGTCGTCAACATTTCAAAGTTGAACAGAAAAAAAATATCCACCCTTCTTGGCATTTACCAGTAAATGTAAAAAGTCAAATTAAATTGTACTAATCTGAATAACCTCTGCTGTAAAATGTGATAAAATATCAATTTTGCAAACCAAAGATAACATTTTAGGTATATATTAATGTGAAACTATAGCTCAGCAAAATTTGCTTCGGCATGTAAACTCTGCAGTTATTTGTAAATAGTGTGGCAACTTCACCCAAAGTCATTTGAGTGTCAGGCAGAGTTCATGAAATCACCCCTATATAAGTGGGTGAGTGTTGGTGGTTGCTTGGGACCAGCTTAACACTACACTACCTGAAGCCATAAAAGACTGGACAGTATGCCATCGGTTGCTAGGGACCAAATCGATTGCTAAGGGACAAACTCAAATTTGATGGATTCTACTTTAGCAGTAGAGTGATAAAGTGACTGTCAATCTAGTGAGATCAATCAAAGCACCGTTACTAATGACTATTGTCAGGAGTTTTTATATTCACAATATAATTTTCACTTCCAAGTTGACCATGTCTGAATATTCCAAATTACTTTAAAAACATCAATATGTTGACAACAGCGCACTATACAATTCATCAGTTTGAATCAGATTAATGATTGTAGATTGCGTTTCAATTCTCTTGGCATTTATTCTCACTATTACCTCTAGTGCGGTGAAAAAAAATCAGAGAAAACCTCTTCATATTTATAATGTATACCTACAAATTTCATCCACCTTTTATAGACAAAAGTATTACCGACAATCGTCAATCAAATTCTTGAAATACTGTCAAATACTTTATTTTGTATGGAATTTATTTTCACTGGTCTTTGACGAGTTGAAAATTCGTTGGAATTTATTTTTTTACTGAATCATTCTTTCAGCACAAATAGGGAAAATTAATTTCAAGCGAAAATAAAGTATTTTACAGTACTAGTTGTTCAATTAATATTTATAAATTGTTTTTAATTTAAATATTCGTACAATAATAGTGGACTTTTGACTTCAAAATAATTTATATTTCAGTTGTATTTGCAACCAAAGTTATTGACAGTCTTATCTTTTGAGAACTTGACATTTTCCATTTTTAATTAAAATTTTAATTGTTCTCAGTTCTGCAAATCTAAATCTTTTGAAAGTTTATTCAGGTATACCACATATATACATTGTCATAACATCACGCTAAAATGTGATAAAAAAAAATGAGAACGAAATTTTGTGATTTTCAAGACAAAAAAAAATCCCAGCGGTTTGAAATTTGATATTCTTTTTTTCACTGAAAATTAATTGCCATACGGGAAAGATGCAACATCATCCTTCAATACTTTTAATTCGTCTAGATTCTATTAAAAAAGAAATATGATCAGTGAAATATTACTAATATGCTTGCCAGTCCAGTAACTCTTTTTTAAACATTAAACATAAATCAAAATAGATTTTTCAATTTAGATTTAATTTCTGAATTGTGATCTACTTCTGACAAGCATTGTCAGATTGTTTCTGACTACATTGCGAATATCGGTAGTAACTTAACCTCAAGGGTCTTGTATTATATTAAAATTACATGGCGATTGTGTTTGAGCAAAAAAAATATAATATTAGCACAAAATAAAAATTTACTTTCAAAAAAAAGCTCACATATTTTCCTTTGCAAAAGTCTTAAAAATATAATTCACAGTTGTGAGATATGAAATTCCATATCGTACCATAACCGTTGTCACGGAGAATCTTTAATATAATAATCGGTTAGTTATTTAAATGCCCCGTGAGTGGCCTCCGTCATTATCAGTACACAATTAAACACATCTAACCTACAGTCTCGCCACACAAGCAGCTTCTAACAATTCATAATGCTGTGATACGCTAACTTCAACATTAAAGATTGTGTTTCTTTTATCAGTCGCTTGCGCACTCAATGCAAATGATGAAAACGAGATTACGTTATTTACCGTAACACTGGAGCCAATCCGAAAGGTGCAAATTGCGTATTAGTCAACTAGAATTTTAAATGCATATTATTTTCAGGTTATGTAGCACCAAATCCCTTGACTGTAGAAACCAGCTTCAATAATGTAAATGCAAATAGCCCCCACCCTAGCATGTACATTTACAGTCAAAAGTGTTTTTTTTTAATCACTCAATGATAAAATTTTATTTTTCGTCCTTTTGATGAAAAGACTTAAGTGTCTGGCAAAGATTAATTATGTCAACAGTCTGATACGACTTCCTGACCCATACCTGTCTGTTTTATTTAACTTATCATTTACATCCCATGAGTGATTATCAGTCGCTATATCTGATTGGTTCATACAACAGACAACAAACAAATTCAATCACTATTATCCAATCAATTAAGTTGTACTATACAGTCATATAATGTCTTTTCAAAGCAGTAATTCTGTCACTCACTTGAGGGAGAGAACAGGGTTTGTCACTCATTGGGTCGGATGGGGTGGGGGCGGGTTCAGGGGTGGTGGTGAGAGGTGTATGTGAAATGAAGGTTATTCTCAGGTATTGACCTATTCACTTGTTTGGGAAATAATTTACAAAAAAAAAAAAGGTAAGGTTTAATTAAATCCCCCTCCCCTTTTTTAAACAAAAATAAATTTACCCAGAATATCCATGTCAAATGAATTCATTCGTATGTCGGCAAAATTTAAGTAGTAGGAAAACAACAAAAGGAGAAAATCTTGTCGAGGAACAACCGCTATTTATTCCCTTGCCCCGTCGCCAACAATGAAAACAATGAACATATCTCTGTTGACATTACTTGGCACTCTTTCAAACTATATTGACGAACTCAAACAAAGCCGACAGACAAGCACCCAACTGGGGAGGCTGTGCTGTTACTTTGAAAGCGGTCGTGATTACCTCCTGCTACCCTGGGAATGTATGACAGCACCAGCTTTTCGACTCTTTTATTTCACCACTGTTTAACTTTCTGAAAAGTCAAAACTGACTTATAAAAAGACAGCAGTGATAGCACCTCATATTTCCATGCACATACCACCAAACATACAGTTAAATTAAAATTATTAGAAGTTTATTAGCTGTAACTTAAGCAGTTAAACAAAATTACATGTTGACTTAAGGAAGGTTTTTTTAAGTTAATCTAACATTTTTTTTTACCGAAAAAAAACAACACAAATTTTCAGAAGTACAAAGAATCAGCATTGGGATCAAGGCTTCAAAAAAGAAAATTTTTCCAGAGAAATAATTGCAACTACTATGTATATATGGATGGACTGGTTGGTGTGTATTTCATAACTTGTATTGGGTTGCAGCGCAGAGACAACATGGCAATTGTTGGCGGATTTTAAGTAGAAAAATGCATCTTAGTAAGCTGTGTGTGTCGTTACAAAAAACATACCAGCCATGGAGCATTTTTCATTTTAGGTGACAATTTGGAATGTTCCACAATTGTTCTCAGTTGGCAATAAAAACATTTGATAAAGAAACTAACCACGGTATTTCTTTTTGTTGATTTAACTTTTAGTCAGAGGCATACACAGTATACTGTTTCCTTTAGGTGTGTATGTATTTAATGAAGTGGGTTTCAGGGGCCTTGATCGTTTTTATTTTATTTCATTACAGCCCCCCCCCCCCTCAGAAAAGGCTTATCATAACATGCGTTCAACAAACTATTTTAATATAAATTAAAATTAAAAATAGACTTTAATTTTTAGGCAGATTATTGTTAAACTTTAAATGCCATGAACTTTGTTTTTTGATCTATGTAAAGAATTATGTTTGTGAGACTAAATGAATATGCATAAATTTCAGGACACACAAAAATCAAGTAAACAGTAACAAGTCAGCTGCAAGGTTTATTTTCGTATTGACAGTACTGTGAAATACTTTATTTTAGCTGGAATTAATTTTCCCCTGAAAAATTTTTTTAGGTGTGACGTATGAAAATTATTTTCACTGATTTTTGTTGAGTTGAATGTAAAATACAAGAAAAAAAGTATATTTGCTGAATTCTATTTACACTGAAACATCCATTCAGCAAAAATAAAATATTTTACAGTATTTAATTTCTAGGGATCTCCTTT